TTATGCTAATTCATTCCTAATACAAACATCTTCTGTTGTGTAATATTACGGCTCCCCGACGTGCTGGGATATTTTTTTTATTTTTTGAAAAGTTGGGATATTTTTTTTATATATGGCAAAAGTTGGGGCATTTTTTTTATTTTCTCTTTAAAATTTTATTAGGCGTGTCATGATAATATACAAACTTTACTGAACAACGACGGGGTCCTGACTGCAGAGGCAAAATGCAGCTACATTACAAAAGCTGGAATAAAATTAACACGAACAAAAAAGAATGCAATAGTAGTACAAAAAAGAATGCAATTGTAGCTCCATAAAAGGTAATCATGCTCTATTAAGTCAGGTCATGAAGTTTTGGTGGTACATGTACTGACCGAGCCATGCGTTGCAAGAAGCCTTAGATCCAAACGTTTTCTTGTCAACTGTTAGCTGTACTGGTTAAAGTGACAAGAGGAGTGCCTCGGATGCAATACACAACATCCATCATCCTACATCGCATGAATGTATCACGCTAAAACACACAGTGCTTGCTAAAAGGGAAATAAATTTTTAGTACTGTCTCATAGACCAATGTGTTGAACCCAAGGACATCAGCAAATAATTTCCTACGACAGCAGCTACTTGCAGGAATAGTACTTGTCATGTTGGCCTCGCACTTTTTACAACTTAAGCCAATGTGTATTCATTTAAAGGCGCCAAAGTAACTTCGTCTTCATATCCTGGGTGAGATCGCAACGAAAATAATCATTCTTAGATCGATGAGTCAAGATCAATATTCTCGCATGAAAAAATGTACTTTTCCAAAGCTCTCAGCTCTAATAAATTAACTATCAGACGTTATGTGTAATCAGGGTAGAATTTGCAAGGCACACAATCTGACGACGGCATAGTCGAGCCCTATCAATCGCCATCTGTCGACAGCTTATCGTACAGGGTCCACGTGGACTAGGTGAGTTTCTTACCTCTAAGGTTGCATCTTTTCGCAAGAGTATACAAAGCTCAGATGCTGGGTTTCAGAAAAATTGCGACAAATCGCCGTAGAGCAGAAAAGGAGCGACAGTAAGGATCGAGCGAAAGCTGGGAAGGGAACGCACTTTTTGGCTATAGGCTGCGTGCATACTCAAATCATCCCTGTTCTGGCTAGAGAATTAATTGTACCCACTTACGCGCGCAGTCCTCAGTCAGAATGGTTGGGTTTTTGCGCAAGAAAAAATCAGACCGCGCTGTGCTCTCAGGCGACACTGTTTTAGATCGCAAAGGCAAAGTAGACAGCGCCAGCTTGTTAGACGGCGATGGAGAGCCCACTGAAGGCTCGCTCTTTGACGTGAATGGCAAGCGCGTGAGCCACAACCAGCGCAACTCGGACGAGGAGAATCGCTCTAAACCTGTGAACAACGCCAGCTTTCCGCCAGTAATGGCCACGGGCTTGTACCCGCC